CGCGGCGCGCGTGGATGACGCAGACCGCGCCCGCCCCGCCTCCGGGTCTTAGAGCGGCGCCGGAAGGCGCGTCCGGCCGCGGGGGGTGCAGGCGCGAGGCTTCCGCTCTCGCGGGAAGTGAGGGAGGCGTTTGGTGGCCGACGGCAGTAGGAGGACTCGAGCGTCTCGGGTAGCAGAGCAGGATGGAGAAGCGAGGCCGGGGCGGGAGGGTGACCCCGAGCCAAACCCCTCAGCAGACGCCGGCGACGCCCCGGAGAGACAGGAGGGCTAGCATGTTCGAGAAAGAGGCAGTGAGTGCGGGACCGCGAGGGGTCGAGACGGCTGTTCCCGCCTGTCGCTCCGCGCTCCCCTCAGGCCTGTTCTTGTCACCAGCCACAGCACAGGGGTCAAGGTTTCCTTTTTCTTTCTCACTAAAGCCCGAACTTGGGCTGGGCAGCCCCCTCCAGACTTGGGTGTTAAAGATGTTTTTTATTTTTCAGTTAAGGGCTTAGAACCCTAAATCAACCGATTGGAAGACTTTTTACAAAGATCATCTTGCGTTCTTCTTAGGCTTAGCTTGGAGATTTTCTAAAATAATCTATTATTGCTTTGTACGAAAATACGTAATTTCAGTATATTTAGTGCCACTGTCCGTACAGAGGCAGTTTCACCGGCCAAAAATGAGTGAGGTATGCTGTACTTAAAAAAAAAAAAAAAACACCTGACAAACCGAGTAGGACAAAGAGTTGTTTCGAGTTTTTAAAACATCTACGCTCTCAGAATTTGAAGAATATACAGAAGAAAAAAGTTAAATTAAAAATATCCTGGGGCCGGCCCGGTGGCGCACTGCTACAGTGCGCTGCTTGGGAAGCGCGGCGGCGCTCCCGCCGAGGGTTGACCTGCCGCTCACTGGCTGAGCAAGGAGCGGGGGCAACACCGAGGGTTGCGATCCGTTGCCGGTCACGAAAAAAAGACAAAAAGACAAAAAAAAAAAAATCCTGTCTGTTAACTTACTATTTGCTATTAACAGAAAATGTCATTATTTGTTGGAATAACACCAATATTTGCATATTGTCATACTTTGAAAGCCGTTAATTTAATGAATATTACGTCTTTTATTGAGACATTAAGAGACAAATAATTTGCCTTAGGATGCAAAACTGTGTAATGATGAGCTGAGACTGGAACCTGTGTCCTGGGATTCCTGGGCTAGTTGTCTGTAGTGGGTTTTTTTGTGTGTGGTTTTTTTTTTTTTTTTAATTCCTACTTAATGAGACCCAAAATTGGTGGGATGAGGGCAGATATAACAGGCAAAACACCAATTTCTGAAAACCCTAAAAGGTTTCACTAGCACTCCAAAATAACAAAAAAGCAAATTCTCAAAAAAAGTCAAAACATTTTAGATTCTAATGATGTGTCTTTGGTGTCCGCATTTTACAGAAGAACAAACTAAAGCAGGGAAAGTAAACAGGCTAAGTTCACACAGCTAAGAAAAAGAGTACAGCAAGTCTAGAAATCTGTTGTATTTCAGACTTCACCTCCCAAATGCTGTGCTGTATTGTATGGCAATAAATCTAGATAACATAGATCACCAGCAGTAAGGGAAATTTTCTATATTTTGAGGCATACAGGGTGACTTTTATAAACTTACTACCTGCTAAAGGTCTGAAGTAGTCTTAAAAGTTGAATGAGCCTGAACTCAAAATGAGGAGACACGTAGAAGATACGTGTGTGTATGAACAGACTTGTATGTATGGGTAGGCTCTTGGTATATAGGCTAAAATCAGAGTGAGGGGAAATGGACCAAGGCAGTTATTGTTTGTTTGATATGGATGTCTTTAGTCATAGCTATCTTTAAAATCGACTCTTCTAGAGGTAAGAAATATGAATAGACCAATAACTATAAGGAGATTAAGGATTCCACAACTGCTCACTAAATGTACCTGAGGACACTGAGTGTACTAAAGAGTCATTTCTAACTTTCAGGTAGTTGATAATTCCCATATTTCTGAGCACAGGAAAAAGTAGGACACACAAAGTAATTAATATGAACATCTCTTGAATATCTGTCCTGCATTCATTTCTTTTCTTTTGGTGGTAGCACCTAATTTTCTTTTAGAGAACTAACTCATCTCCCATCAGATAGAGGGTTGACGGGATTCTGAGCCACTTTTCTTAACTTCATAGTGAGTATGAGACTGAAATTAGGCTAATAAGATGAACTCTTTGGAATGACACAGAGAAAATGGTTGAGGTTTATTTTAAATGGAGGATGGCAAACTGAAGTTCCCCGTGCACTTTCATTTGCGATTCTTTAAACACTAGCAAATAGCATTTAAAAATACAGCCATGCATTGCTTAACGATGGGGATAAGTACTGAGAAATGCATTGTTTAGGCAATTTTCATGATGTGCGAACATCATGAAGCATACTTATACAGACCTAGATGGTATAGCCTACTACACACCTAGGCTATATAGTATAGCCTGTTGCCCCTATGTGAATAATGTTTTGTGCCTATGACGTTATGACAAGTATGATGTACTAGGCAATAGGAATTTTTTTTTATTTTCATTATAATCTTATGGGACCACCCTTGTATATGCAGTCCTTTGTTGACCAAAATGTCATGTGGCATATGACTGTACATTAATATCTCATTACAAAGCTCAGTTTATTCTAGGACTATAATAAGGAGCCTCATTGTAAGGAAATGCCACACCAATAGTTTAAATAATTAATCTCATGTTGAATTAGAAGATGCCAAAAATTTGATCATATTTAAAACTTATTCCTATGTTTAGGAAAAGTTATTAAAGATTCTTCATTAATAAAAGGAGTAAAATACTCTTTGATAAGAGTATACTAAATCAGATGACCAATATTATACATAAAAAAGAAATGGCAGAGATGTGAATTTTCAGCATATTAGGATCACTAAGGGCTGTTTTCAGGCCACACATGCATGCCCCATCCCCATGAGAATAATTGTTGTTGGGAGCTACTGTTAATGATACAATGTAGTTGTATCCCTTAAGTATATTGTGGTGGAAAAGATAGCAATCGTTACCCTAAGAGGCATTCTCTTAACAAAGAAGAACAAAGTGATTTTTAAGAGAGGTTTAGGGAGCTAATAATGCCTCTTCCACAGTTAAAGGATAGGCACAGAAGTCTGAGAGATGATTAAAACAGCAGATTTATTTCTGACGAGGGACTTTTACTTGCAACCAACGTAGAGTAACTCTTACCAGAAACTACTTCAGATAACAATATATGAAGCAATTGTTTTTATTGGTTGTATGTCAGATAGCACAGAATAGTGATCTCTGAGAGAGGAGAAATAGGTCAGGTGAGCTCCAATATTATCCCCAACTTACTGCCTCATGAGAGTTTCAAGGCCACAACATGAGGAGAGATTTTTTTTAGTTGAAAGGAAGTTAGGACTCTGGAGCAGTCAAGATAGCATGAGACTGCAGGGCAGGTTATTGGAAAAGACAGGGCTGCACAAAGAGCTCCAGAGATCTTCAGAGGGTTTCTCTTGAGTCCTCAGATTAGTGCATCAGTGCATCTGGTGTGGAAACCACCTGAGGGCAAAGAAAGAACCACTCAAGAAGATCAGGAAAAAATCATTGGACTCAGAATAGTTTGTGTAAATCACCAGTAAAAGTAGAAAACCATGAAAAACATAAGGCTTTGGTTAGAGTGCTAAAATGGTATTCTCTCAGTAGTGCAGGGGAAAGAAAATAGTCCAGACATAAAGGTGTCTCTGGTTTTGCCTATCAGAGCCTGAAAGCAAAGCTCAAGAAGATTAAATTGTTTTCAAATTACTATATCCTAGAAGAAAACTCAAGGATATCTTTTAGAAATATAAAAACATTCAGCATGTAAGAAGGTAAAATTCACAGTGTCTGATTGCCAATTAAATGTTAGCAAACCTGCAAAGAAGCAGGAACCCAAAATGAGAAGAAACAATAAAAACACACCAAGAAATGACACAATGATGGAATTAATATAAAAGGATACTTGAAGCTATGATAAAAGTTATTGTATAAGTTTTCATCAACTTAAGCAATTACTATATAACGTTTATATTACAAAGGAGTTATAATTACATTCCATGCATTGAAGAATGTAGAGAAAAATAGAGCATGTTAAATCCAAACCAAGTAGGTAAAAGATAAGATGCCAGAGATGAAGATACACTCAATGGGATTAACAGAAGATTCAACACTGCAGAAGAAAGGATTAGTGAATTTAGAGATAAAAATATATATTTATTAGAAGATATCAATAAGGTATGGGAGAACTTCAAGTGGCCTAATATTCTTGTAACTTGAGTCCCCAAATGAGAAGAGAGGGGACAGACAAAAAATATTTGAAGAAATGAGAAATTTCCAAACTATGAAAACTATAAACCCACAAATCCAAGAAGCCCAATGAACTCTGAACATGAGACATGAATAAAATTATGCCAAGACATAGAACAATCAAATTGCTTGAAACCAGTGATTTAAAAATTTAAAGGCAGCTAGACAAAATAAACATACACAGAAACAAAGATAAAACAACAGCAGACTTCTCAGAAAAAAATTCAATACAGAAAACATTGAGAAATTATCTTTAAGTCCTGAGAGAAAATAACTAGAATTCTATACCTAGCTAAAATGTCTAACAAACAAAAAAGGTAAGAGCATCAGTTTCAGTTCTGCATGTAAGGAGCTTGGAGTCAGCACTGCATCCTAACAAGTAAAAAGCTGAACAAGATGAAAATTTACCTCATATCTGGAAGAGACATAGGGTTGCAGGGCAAACCACTGTCCCCCAAATTGAAGTGACAGGCAGATGCAGAGAATCACAACATAACAGAGAACAAAATGTGGGCACCAATGTCAGGGTAGAAAAACCTGAAATGTAATTGACAGATTGCTGGAGGCTAAGTGTGGGCAATTCAGAATTAAAAACTGCAGGGAAATTCAGTCATAGGGTGATCCCCAAACTTTTCTGAGTTTTACCACGAGTTAAAGCAGGTTCCCAAGTAAATATTTTAGAAACATTCCCTCATGCTTCTAGCAAGGAGGGTGGGAATGGGGACATTTTGAAGTACACCAAAGCATTCTGTTCTTAATTAGATATGCCTGCAAGAGAAACTGGTTAACCAGAGCTTAATTTCCTGTGGGTTTGCAGAGCCTAACTGGCAGGGGGGAAGAAAAATGCCCAACTCTAGCCCACTCTAGGTATTCTATCCCACTTAAGTGGGGAGGGAAAAAATTGAGAAACATTTGTGAAGTCAACAGTTCAGGGGCACAGTCTCAGTAAAAGGTTGAAACCTAATTATAAGACTTTAGAATGCTCCCTCTCCTCCCATACATTGCCAGTACAGTACTAGAGGTTATTTACAGCAGTTCCTTTTACTTGTTGTATCATATTTGGCTATCAAGAAAAAATTACAAGGCATTCTAAAAGGCAAAGAACAAAAGAGAAAAAGCAAGTATCAGAACCAGACATAGCAGGGATGTTGGAATTATCAGAGAATTTAAAACAACTATGATTAATATGTTAACAGATGTAGTTGATAAAATACCATGCAAAAACAGAAAACAATGTAAACAGAAATTCTACAAAAGAAAAAGAAATTCTAGAGATATATATATATGTGTGTGTGTGTGTGTATCTATATATATCTTGAGACATTTAAAAAATTTTTTGAACTGAATGAAAATGAAAACACAATGTATACAAAAACAGAAAACAATGTAAACAGAAATTCTACAAAAGAAAAAGAAATTCTAGAGATATATGTGTGTGTGTGTGTGTATCTATATATATCTTGAGACATTTAAAAATTTTTTTGAACTGAATGAAAATGAAAACACAATGTATAAAAATTTTGGGGATGCAGCAAAACCAGTGCTTACAGGGAAATTTATAGCAATAGAGACATACATATATTAGAAAAGAAGAAAAATCTAAAATAATTAAGCTTTCACCTTAAGAAAAGGAAGACCAAATGAAATCCAAAGTAAGCAGAAGAAAATAAATAATAAAAATAGCAGAAGTCAATGAAATTGAAGACAGGAAATCAATAGAGAGAAAATCAGAAAATGAAAAGCTGTTTATTTGGGGGCTGGCCTGGTGGCGCACTGCTACAGTGCGCCGCTTGGGAAGCGCGGCGGCGCTCCCGCTGAGGGTTCGGATCCCACATACAGACCGGCCGCTCACTGGCTGAGCAAGGTGCGGGAGCAACACCGAGGGTTGCGATCCCGTTGCCAGTCCCGGTCCGGTACGGGCGCGACACTGAGGGTTGCAATCCGTTGCCGGTCACGAAAAAAAGACAAAAAAAAAAAAAAAAAGCTGTTTATTTGAAAAGATCAATATAATCTTAAGCCTCTTGCCAGGCCAAGAATACAAGAGAAGTAACACTAATATCACAAATACAAGAGGGGACATCTCTATAGATCCCGTGGACATCAAAAGGTTAATAAAGGGGCCGGCCTGTGGCTCACTCGGGAGAGTGCGGTGCTGATAACACCAAGGCCACGGGTTCGGATCCCATATAGGGATGGCCGGTTTGCTCACTGGGTGAGCGTGGTGCTGACAACACCAAGTCAAGGGTTAAGATCCCCTTACCGGTCATCTTTAAAAAAAAAAAAAAAGGTTAATAAAGGAATATTACGAGCAATTCTTTGAACATGAATTTGATAACCTAGCTGAAATGGACCAATTTCTTGAAGGACACCATCTGCCAAAACCTGCACAAGAAGAAGTAGACAATATCAACAGACCTATCTAAAATTGAACCAGCAGTTAATAACCTTCTAAAACAAAATGCACCAGACACAGTTGGGTTCACTGGTGAATTTTACCAAACATGTAAGGAAGAAATTATACCAATTCTCTACAGTATCTTTCAGAAGATAGAAGCAAAAAGGAATACATTCTAACTCATTCTATGAGATCATATTCATCCTGATACCTAAGCCAGAAAAACAAACTACAAGAAAAGAAAACTGCAGACCAATATCCCTTTTAAACATTGATGCAAAAATTCTCAACAAAATATTAGCAAACTGAATTCAGCATTATATTAAAAGTATTATATACCATGACCAAGGATTTATTCCTAGAATGGAAAAATGGTTCAGCATAAGAAAATCAATCAATGTAATATACCACATTAACAAAATGAAAAAATAAACCATGTGATTATCTCGATCAAGAAAAAGCATTTGACAAAATTTAACATGCTTTCATGCTAAAAACACTCAACAAACGAGGAATAGAAAGGAAACTAACTCACCATAATAAAAGCCATATATGAAAAACCCACAGTAAACATTATACCCAAAGGGGAAAAACTCAAAAATATTCCTCTGATGTAAGGAATAAGGAAAGGATGTCCACCTTCACAACTTCTATTCACGATAGAACTAGAAGTTCTAGTCAAGCAATTAGTCAAGAAAAATAAATTTTACACTATTATTAAAATGAAGCTCACAACTTTAAGAGGCCACAGCATTTATTTGGAACATAATAGGCACTAAATAAATATTTAATGCATGTTGGATGTCACAGAATGAGTATTGCATGTGAAAAGCATAGACAGATGTATATGCTAAATCAGTACAGTTTGATATCTTTTCAGCTTAAGACTTATGAATGTGTTACCTAAATAATTGTATTACTTATTCAAAGTTAAATAAAATATTGAAACAGAGAAGGATAATATTTTCATAAGCTCAGAGTTGTGAGAATAAAAGGTTTTCCTTACATTTCCTACCCCACTAGCCACTCAGTTGCCCTCTCTGGAGGCCACTTTTGTTTCTAGTTCTTTTGGATCTTCTGTGAATATTCTAAATACATACACGCATATCTATATGTGTATATTTGTGCATAAGATAAAAAGATAGTATTCTTTTCTCTTTTACCAAATTGATAGCCAGCAGTGAATCTAGGATTTAGTGATCACATTATCATAGATATCTGTTTTAACAGTTTTCTAAGCTTTGTGTCAGTCCTGCCCTACTGTGCCAGAGTTCTTTAATCTGAAATTTTATTTTACAATTAAAAAAGTAATGTCTATCCCTTTTCCATCATACTTCCCTCCTCCTCCCCCCCTTTTTCAGTTTGCCCAGATCTTAAGAGAAAGACTGAGAGAATCAATTCATGATGTTCAGTATGTGGAGCCTCCATTTGATGACTCAATCGCTGATATAGGTAAAGAATGGAAGAGTGCCCTGGCAAAATTAAAGTTTGCTAATTCATATAGAATGCAGCCATTGAGGAAATTTCAAGCCAATTCAGTAGAATCTAAAGTCCAGCAGATACTGAAGGTAAGTTGATAGATATTTGTGATAGCAGTATTGTATTAGGGTTCTCCAGAGAAACAGAACTAATAAGGGATTATATATATGAGGAGATTTATTATAGCAGTTGGATAATGCAATTATGGGGCCAGGAGGTTCCACCATCTTACATCTGCAAGCTGAAGAACTAGGAACATCAATGGTGTAACACAGTTCAAGTCTAAAGGCCTAAGAACCTAGAGTGACAGAGTCCAATAGTGGGAGAAGTTGGATGTCCCAGTTGAAGCAGTGTATTAGTCTGTTTCTGTTGCTTATAACAAAATAACTGGAACTGGGTAATTTATAAAGAAACTATATTTACTGCTTACAGTTTCTGAGGCAGAGAAGTCTAAAGTCTAGGGAATACATCTGGTGAAGGCTTTCTTGGTGGTGGCTTCAGTAACACAGGGCATCACATTGCAAGATGACGGAAGCAGAGAGAGGAACTCTCACATGCTCAGTTTAAAGCCCTCAGAACCATGCCTGTGATCACCATTAAACCATCAACTTAATCACCACTTCAAGGCCCCATCTTTCCATACCATAATAGGATTTCTCATCCTCTTAGGAGTCACAGTGGGGATCAAACTTTGAATACATAAGACTTGAGGGACACAATTCAGCCATATCAAGCAGAGAACAAATTTGCCCTTCCTCCACCTTTTTGTTTTACTCAGGCCCTCAAAAGATTGGATGGTGTCCACCCACATTGATGAGGGCCATCTTCTTCTCTGTCTGATTCATATGCTTGCTGATTTCTTCTGGAAACACTCACAGACCTAATACCTGGAAATAATGTTTTACCGGCTATTGGGACATCCCTTATTCCAATCAAGTTGACACATAAAATTAACTATCACAAGTATACCCTTTGTCAACTGGGGACCCATACAAGTCTCCTTAAAACAAAACTTAATTTCCAAATAAGACAATAACAAGGTCAAAATTTCACCTAATATGATACAACTATGCTGTGTAAAACTGAAAAATGCACTAATCCCTTCTCTAGAAGAGGAGGTAAAGTTCTTGAGTGATGTTAATATTCTCCTGATATTCCATAATTTAAATACTATAATGTAAAATTAACAATATTTTAATACTGATAAAAGTCAATATATCTTATGTTACATGATAAGGGAATAAGAAAGAAAATATATTTGCTTAATATATGTGTATATATACACACATAGTCACATAAGGAGGAAATACTCATGACAGTTATAGTCCTCATTTCTATAACTGGTCGTGTGGTCATAATTGGTATTTATAACTACCTTCTTCAGCTACCATTCATTTTTCCCTTTGCATACAGCAAGTACCTCACCTGATCATGGTTCTTGACCTGGCGGGATGACCCAAACCTTCATTCCTGAAGGATCTGGGCCATTCATAGTCTTGTCTAGTTGGATTATTACAATTTTCCATTGGTGATGGGGCATGGTAGTACTAAGTTACACCCTAAGGAATTTTCTGTATTACAGGCATAATTTTTCTTCATTGTGGAGTAGTGGTCCAATTATCCCTTGGTAGTAAGGATTATTCACCCAAGCCAACACCATAACTTTTCTTTTTTTTTGCCTGTTGACTCAGAGGCAGGAAGAGCCCAAAATGGCCAGGTGGCACTCATATCTTCCAGTTCAATGGAATCGTGTTTGCATCTTCTGGTGGAAGCATTCCTCCCTCTGGAACTAAGACCTCTAGACCAGCAGAGCATAAAGTTGTGGAAACAGGAAGCAAAAATTTTGCTAGTGGGTTATATAACACCCAGTTCATGATGGTAATTTTGTGTACCATGGTCAAGCATTCAGTCTCTACTAAGGCCCAGCAGCAGGCCAAAAGCTGTTTTTCAAAATGAGAGTAATTTATCTGTATATTATAATGAGGCCTTTCTCCAAAGTACTAAAGGTCTCTAATGTTATTCTTCTGCAGGGGCCTGCCAAAGGCTCCAAACAGCATCTTGATCTGCCACTGATATTTCAAACACCACTAGATCTGCTGGCTCATGTGGATCACGTGGCAGAGAAGCTTGCAGAATCCTGGACCTATTGCAGAGCCATCTTTTGTTCTGAGATCCACTCAAAGCTAGCAGTTTTCATGTCACTCAATAAATGGGTCAGAATAACACAGTCAAATGAGGAATATGTTGCCTTCAAAACACAATGAGTCCAGACAAATTGGATACGTAAAAACAAACAAACAAACAAACAAAAAACAATGAGGGCTAGTAGGCAGTGTGCTTATTTTTTGGTTGCAGGATAGGCCACATGCAACAACTCACCCTTCACCTTAGAAAAGGATATCTTGATGTGCCTAGAAATCTCACTAAAGTAAAGGCCCATAAGTTTTAGTAAGATTTATTTCCAACCCTCATATACAAATGTCTTAGCAGTAAGTCCAGAGTAATTGCTACTTTTTGCTTACTAGATTCAATCAGCATAATGTCATCAATGTAATGGAACCACCAGTGTGATATCTGTGGAAAGGAAAGACATTAAAGTCTCTGTGAACTAAATTATGACACAGGGCTGGATGGTTGTTGTATTCCTGAGGTAGAACAGTGAAGGTGCATTGCTAGCCTTGCCAGCTGAAAGTAGACTGCTTCTGCTGGGGCCTATGGACAGGTATGGAGAAAAAGTCATTTGCCAGATCATCACTTGTACTGTAGGTACCAGGGGATGTAAATTTGCACAAGCAATGAAAGCACGTCTGGTACAGCAACTGCAATTGGAGTCACCATCTGGTCAAGCTTAGATCATTCACTGTCATTCTCCAAGATCCATCTGTCTTCTTCACAGGCCAAGTAGGAGACTTGAAAGATGTGGATGGGAGTTACCACCACTGCATCTTTCAAGTCCTTGATGCCAGCACTGATGTTTGCAGTTCCTCCAGTGGTGTGGTATTGCTTTTGATTTAGTCTTTTCCTAGGTAGAACAGTTCTAACTGCTTCCACCTGGCCTTTCCCGCCATGAAAGTCCTTGCTTCACAAGTCAGGGAACAATTGTGGGGATTCTGCCAGTTGATAAGTGTTCTATTCCAATTGCATTCTGGAACTGGCCACGGGCTAAATTTGTGGACCCACTGGTCCCAGTGAGAGATAATATTGAGCTGAAACTTATTGATCACCTGACCTCAATAAGCTCCCAACTTATAGGATCCCATTCTTTCCCAAACCATGTCCTCACTTTAGCAGTAGACAACCTGCAAGGCTGGGAGCTCAACTTGCATTGTAAATAAGCTAGTTGCAAGTTGAGGTTCTGTATTTTATTTTCAGCAGTTTCAGCCCTTCAGCTACAGGAGTTGAGCCTCTCCTTTAGGGAACACATAGAAGTTCTGTAGTCATTTGAGTGGGGAGTTCACCTGGTCTCATCCTTTTCTTTCACTTCTTTGTCCTTAGTTTTTCAAAAAATGTTTGAAAGTGTCATATACAGATACTTCATATATGTGATCGATTAAGAGTATTTAATATAAATATTTTGCATATCTCTATAAACAGTTCACATCATGGACTATCAATGCTCTTTTTTTTTTTTTTCCCCCTTTTTGTCTTTTTTTACTGACCGGTAACGGGATCGCAACCCTTGGTGTTGCACCCGCACCACGCTCAGCCAGTGAGCGGGAACCAGTCTCCACATGGGATCCGAACCCTCGGTGGGAGCGCCGCCGCACTCCCAAGTGGCACACTCTCCAGTGCGCCACTGGGCCGGCCCATCCTTTCCAATTTGAATGCCCTTTATTACTCTTGCTTGCCTAATTGCTCTGGCCAGGACTTCTAGTACCATGTTGAATAAGAGTGGAGAGAGTGGCCATTCTCATCTTGTTCCAGTTCTTAGAGGAAAAGCTTTCAGCTTTTTCCTGTTAGGTGTGATATTAGCTGTGTGTTTATCATATACCTTTATTGTGTTGACGTACATTCCTTCTATACAAATTGTTGAGGGTTTTTTTTATCATACATGTGTGTTAGATTTTATCAAATGCTTTTTCTGCATCAGTTGAGGTAATTACATGTTTTTGTCTTTTATTCTGTTGATGTGATGTGTGACATTTGTTAATCTGTATATGTTGAATCAACCTCACATCCCTGGGATAAATCCCACTTGATTATGGTGAATGATCTTATTTTCTTAATTAATTATTATTATTTTTTACATTCTAAGATGTTGTTGTGGAACAGTTGGGTTGTAGGGGGAGAGAGGAAAGGGGCAGGGGATAGGATGGGAGGATGAGGAAGCGGGGAGGAGGGCATGGTCAAGGCCTGTGGCACCCCCCTTATTCCAGCAGAGGATCCCAGGGGCTTCTGATAGTGGTGCAGTCATAGCTGGGCTGGATGCAGAGTCGGGGGACATGTCTGAGGCCCTCAGCACCCCCTGCCCTAGGTCGGGAGCCTGGGGTGCTTCTGGCAGTGGCCTGGTTGTCATTGCTGGGCTGGATGCAGATGTCATGGGTGTATGGCTGAGTCCCTCACCACCTCTGACTCAGGGGCCTGGGGTGCTTCTGACAGCAGCCTGGTGTTGTCGCTGGGCTGGATGCAGACACTGGCAGGTGTGGCTGAGACCATTGGCCCCCCACTGCTCCAGCTCGGGAGCCTGGGGTGTTTCCAGTGGCAGCCTGATGGTGTTGCTGGGTTGGATGCAAATATCAGGAGGAAGTGGCTGAGGCCCTCAGCACCCTGCAGTCTGTCTTGGGAGCCTGGGGTGCTTCTGGTGGTGGCCTGGTGGACATTGCTGGGCTGGATGTGGAAGGGGCTTGGCTTGGGAGCCTGGGGTGCTTCCAGCAGCAGCCTCGTGGGTGTCACTCAGCTCGGAAGTCCAGAAGCGTCTGGTGAGGGCTTGGTCATTGCTGGGCTGGATGTCAATGGGGTGTGTGGCCGAGGCCCTCAGCCCTCTTTCCACCCTGGCTTGGGAGCCTGGGGGCCTTCTAGCTCTGCTAGGTTTTATAGGTGTTCTTTGGTGGTATTAGACCTTTACTAGCTAATATCAGAACTTTATCTC